TCTCAACACCTTAACGGTTAGTGTCGTGGGATTTGACAGGCTCAAGGACGAGTACACTTCGTGTCCTGACTTTGGCATCATTTATGATGAGGTTAAAAATGGCAACTGCCAAGATCATGTGAATTTCCTAATCGATGATGGCTACCTGTTTCGTGGGTCTAGGTTGTGTATTCCTCGCACGTCACTGCGCGATTTTCTCATTTGGGAATTACACGCGGGAGGGCTAGCCGGACACTTCGGCATTTAGAAGACTACGACCATGGTTGAAGACAGGTTCTATTGGCCTTCCCTTAAGCATAATGTTGCTCGAATCTTTTTCCAGTGTCGTACATACCATACAGCAAAGGCAAAGAAGAGGAATACGGGGTTGTACACGCCTCTTTCTATTCCTGAGGCACCTTAGAAGGACATTAGTATGAGTTTCGTGCTTGGGTTGCCAAAGACAGTGCGAGGGCACGATTCTGTCTTGCTTGTAGTTGATAGGTTCTCAAAAATGGCACATTTCATCCCATGCAGTAGGACTACCGATGCCTCACATCTGGCCAAGCTTTTCTTTCTAGAGGTTGTGCATCTTCACGGTCTGCCTACCACTATCGTCTCTGATAGGGATGTCAAGTTTGTTAGTTATTTCTGGAAGACCCTCTGGAAGCTCTTCGGTACACAACTGAAGTTCTCGTCTGCTTTCCACCCTCTGGCTGACAGACAGACTGAAGTGACTAACCGTAGCTTAGGTGACTTGCTCCGTAGTTTAGTTGGCAATAAGCCTGGTAACTGGGATTTAGTCTTGCCTATAGCTAAATTTGCTTACAATAACTCAGTCAATAGATCCACTTGCAAAAGCCCATTCCAAATTGTCTCGAGTCACAACCTAAAGCAGCCTATTGACCTTGTTCCCCTTCCCCTGTCTGCTCACCCTTCTGAGTCTGCCGAGACCTTTGCACATCGCCTTCACGATATTCATGCTCAGGTTAGGCGTAAGTTAGCTTTAAATAATGACAAGTATAAGATAGTTGCTAATATCTATCGACGTCACCAGGAGTTCGATGTTGGCGACCTTATCATGGCTCGTATACAGCCTGAGCGTTTACCAAAGCGGCCTTACAAGAAGCTGCACGCTCGTGCCTCTGGCCCGTTTTGCATTTTCAAGAAGTTAGGCCCCAATGCATACTTATTAGAGTTACCTCCTGATATGTCTATTAGTCCAGTATTTAATGTTGAGGATCTTGTTCCTTACCGGGGCATTTTTGAGCCCCCCTTTGTGTTCTGATGACTCTGCAGGTACTCAGACTCACCAAGCCCCAACCCCACCCGTGCCTAGAGTTGCGCCTCGCTCGAAAGCCATTAACGCCGTGATGGATGAGCAGACGATTCTAACTCCAGCAGGTCCCGTCAGTCATTACCTCATTCGTTGGAAAGGCTGTCCTGATTTAGACGCTACATGGCTCATCGAGGACGAGTTCCGTCATGTGGATGCTGCCCTCCTCGACAGCTACCAGCTTTCTAACTCTCCGATGGTGAGTTCTTCAAACTGGGAGGGGAAATAATGTAGATTTAATTAATTAATTTTTTTGTTATTTATTTATTTTGTTAACTACCCACTAACCCATGATTTTGCATTTTAATTATTTTATTTAAAATTAGGTTATAAGTACCCTAGGTTTCTATTGTGTAAGCAAACTTGGCTTTTGACGTATCAGATAGTTTTCTTCCATTCCCGTTCTCGTCTTTGCTCTCCCTTTCTCTCTAATATTCTTCTCTGATCTCCTTCTCTTCCCCTTTCTCTCTTCTGTTTTACATCACATATACAACTCACATTGAGTCATCACCCAATCACCCTATATGTGCTGACATGGCTTCCAAATAAGGTCTGCATTCATCAGCTATGACCTCCCCTGTTTCCTTCTCCTCATTTTCATCCTCATTCTCAGAATCATCTATAAGGCGAATGTATTATTTACAGTATATATACCGTGAAAAATTACACACTGACCTAAACCAATCAAAATCAAAGTGTGGGTGGGGGAGTTGTAGTTGAATTTATGAATGGAGAGGCTACACAGACAGTAGATGCAGTGGGTTTAACATGATATAGAGAAAGATTTACAATAAGATATTATTATTCTTCACAAAATCCAAGTATCTCACCAAGAATCGACAGAATAAAGATAAAAATCAAGGGAAAAGCAAAGCTGAAGCTCATGGAAATATGGAACCGAGGGAACATACTTAACTGTACAAATGCAATCCCATTCTTTTTATTGGTGAGGACCGAAAGAAGAAAAGAAAAGGCCTCACGGATGATCCGTAGAAGAAGGAATATGAGAACAAAACAGGGGAGGGTCGCAGCTGATAATGCAGAGCTTATTTGAAAGCCATTTCAGCACATAGAGGGTGATTGGGTGATGATTTAGAATGAGTTGTATATTACCTGGATTAATTTATTAAATAGGAAAAAATTAGGGATCAAGTTTCAACAGAGTTAAAAGTTGAGAGACTGAGTGATACTACGTCATACTTGAGGGATTGAGTTATAACCAAGTTAAAAGTTAAGGAACCAAGAGATTAATTTTTCCATAAATATATATTGATATATCAATAAAGCTCCTGATACACTTGGTATTACAAATTAAAATATCAACCAAGCAAATTAAAAGCCCCTTATAATATTATTAAAAAATGGAACTATAACAAATCAGAAAAGTGATATAAGGGAGATGGATTACTTAGAGGGTGTTTAGATGGAAACCAAATTATGGTTTTAAAAGTATTTTTACAGTATACGATGTAAAAATGCGGAAGAGTTTGTCTTGTTTTGCGGGGAAAAAAAGAACTTTTGAATGCTTCCAAACACCCCCTAATAAGAGTCCTGTGATTCTATCAAAAAACTTGTTGATCAAACCTTGAACAAAACAGCCACACACGTATACATACAATATTTATTGGTGTATGTATATGCATGTGTAAAAGTAATTAGAATTAATGTTCAATTAATCTTCCTCTTCCAGATCTGTCAATCCCATTTTATGATGATGAGGCCTACAGTTTCCCAGAGTCGTGGCGGTAGCCGGAGAAGAAGAAGGAGAGGAATGAGCGGAATTATTATAAGCAGCCATGGCCAGGCAGCTCTCACTCCAAGCCCTTCTTAAAGGATACGACACATTGTTGCTCTTCCCCCGGTGGGTGCATGCTGCTTTAGGTGACGAAGACGACGAGGACGACTTGTCATGAATCGCACAGCCACAGTTCCGGTGGTACGGCCGCCGTTGGACGTCGTTATCGTGCCCGGAAATGCATCCCTCGTATACTCCCCGGAAAAACCCGTCCGCGGCGGAGGCGGCCATGCGAATGTATATATATACGCTCAATTGTTGAGGTGGTGGTCGTTGGATCTTGGCCTGTCTGATGGGCGATCACCTGGAAGCAGCTTGAAGGTGATGGTGTGAAATGGAAGCACCCGGATGGATGAATTAATGGCGGGGGAGGGGCGGTGGGGGAACTGTAATGGGGAATTTGAAGGAGGAAGGAGAGGGGGAAGTTAAATAATGAGGAGGGAGGTGGTTGGAGGTTAAACGGCTTGTGCGGGCATTGAAGCCTGTGTGAGTTGTGAAGAGGCCGTGTCTTGTGCGTAACTCCCTTGACTTTTTTCACCCTCCTCTTTTCTGTCAACAACCATTGCAATTTTCCCCGTCAAATGAAAACGGTGATATTTATAATTTTTGTGCGACATACAGAAATCCCCTTATTAGAAACTTATGTATTTGAATTTGAGATATTATTAAGTATTAAATATGGACACTTTGCTCAATAAATCAATATGAAATTTCTTTTGTTAGAACTGCTCCTGTTGGTGCCATGTTTATACTTTGGGTTAATATAATTTTTAATTTCTCAAGTTTTAAATCATAGGTTTCGGTTTTTTAAGAGGTTTTTTTATCTAAAACATTAGTTCCTATAATTTAACAAAAAAATTTGACCATTTTGCCTTTTGAGAGGCCAAAATCAAAATAAAAGTAAACTTGAGAAATCAAAAATTATATTAACCCTGTTAGAAAAAATAATAGTGTTATTAGCTAATTAGGTTGGACTCTATATAAATTGGTTCTAATATAATGTTAGTTTAGAGTGTAAGATGTGTTATTCTCATCAATGAGAAAGAAGATATATAACTTGGGTCTCCCTTCTTGATCCCAATAATTTATTTTTGAGTTATTGGTTAATCTCTCAAGTGAGAGACTAAATTAATCCTAAGAGAATTATTGTATCTTGCAAATTATTAATAACATTTTATATTCTTTAGCCTCATTTCTTTACAAACCTGTTATAATTTTCACATTTAAAATCCAAATCAATATCATTATATTTTATATATAATAAAACTCTTCCATACCGAGGGTTTAAAAAAGAAAAAAAAAGAAAAGACTAATCATGGGAGTTGGGTCTAATAAAAATAATTAGTCTCTCACAATATAATTAATCAATGTTTGAATTCTCGCTGAAAAAAATACTCCTCCGGTCCTTAATATAAGACCCATTTAACTAATTTGATTAGATTAAGGAAGTTAGGTAAGTTAGTTAATTATAAGAAAAGTGACACATTTTTCCTAAAATACCACAATCATCTTTCTTAATACCCCCTCTCCTTCTTCTACTTGATTATGGTTGAGGGAGTATCCATAGGGGTAATTTAGAGAAAATTAATAAATATAAGAAATGGGTTCTATATTTAAGACTAAAACCAACTTAAGAATTGGGTCCTATATTAAGAACCGAAGGAGTACTAACATTTAGTGCCTAACAGTTTTTTGAACGGGATTGCATCCAATAAGATAGGAGCATACATGTGCTTAAAAAAAAAATTGGTATATGCTATTTAATTTTTAAATTTTATATATTTAATGAAGACAAAAGCTGGAAACTTATTAAATTTTTAAACAGTGGAGTTTATGAATTTTATTTTATTTTATTTTTAATTTCCAGCGGACATGTTGAAAGTTTCTTGTATAAAAACCAAGATGGTATTTTATTCACCGGGGGGGGGGGGGGGAGGGAGGCGCGGTTGAATCCATGCGTGGATCACACGAGACTGCTGCATGCGTCGATCGCATCGTGTTTTCCGCCAGGGTGGCCTGTGAAACGCTGTTTTTGGACTTGTCGCATGAATAACGTCAATGACTCAGTGGTCCCAGAAAATCTTTTTAGGCATGAAAATGATAGTACAATAGATCGCACGCTTAGTACCATTTTTATTCCTTAAAATTTGGTTTCATTTTACTCTTTATTGCTAAAATTTGAAAGCAGTGATTTTAATTTCTGAAATTTGGTTTCATTTTAATTTTAAATCTTGATGTTTGATTTTATTTTGGTTCAATCTTTAGAAGAAGGTTTCAAGAACCAAAACTATTGATTTTAAATTTCAGAAACTAAAATCAAAATAAAATTAAATTTTATGGACTTAAAATGATCTTAATCCTAGATTGTTTGTTGCATGAATAAAAATAAATAAATAAAAAAGATACTCATCTGATTAATAATGTAAAACTTATTTAACTAATTTGATTATATTAAGTTCCATAAGTTAGTTAATTATGAGAAATAAGACACATTTTTCCTTAAAACACCATAATTATCTTTCTTAATATCCTCCCTATCTCTTTTACTTGATTATAGTTGAGTAAGTATCAACAAAATTAATTTAGAAAAAAATTAATTAATATGAAAAATAGATCTTACATTTAGGATCAAAATTAACTCAATATTTAAGTCCTATATTAGGGGCTAGAGCAATGTTTTAAAAACCGGACCGGACATAGAGCCGGAAAAACTAGCGGGTCACGGTTCAAACGGTTGAATCGGTTAGACCGTATGGTTAGACCGGTAATATAATAATTAAATTAAATATCATATTATATGCATATAAATATAAAAAATATTTATAGTAGTATATATATGTATATATATATAGGCACTCATAGAATCAATTTTTTTAATCTAAAATAAGGGATTATTTTACTCCTTAGCTGTACGTCACCTAATGCCTAGTAGCTAGTACATAGGGTGCTATAATTACAAGTCTTCTGTGTTCAGTATTGGGAATGTGCTAGCCGCTGAAAAAAATAGTAGAAAACAAGATTAAATTGATAGATGGTGGAGATGAATGAAAATTAAGGTAATTTTTACTTTTTTAAAATAAAAATTAAAGAGTCTGCTAGTAATATATCTGAAACGCAACATCAACTTTTACTTTTGAGTTTTTAACTTTCTGGGTATTCAAACTCTTTTAGCTTCTCAAGCTCAAGCGTGTTGCTGTCAAAATTTCTTCTTCTCCGGTATTTCAGAATGCTTTGAACTTCATACTAGCTAAAGATGACGCTCGTTATTTTTTTTCTCCAATCTATCATCTTAGACTTTTTTGTTGTTGATCTGATAGTTTTGGATATAATCAGTGCTAATCTCGTGAGACATTCTTCTTCTCCTCTTCTTTCTTCTTCTTCTTCCTTCTCTTCTTTACGCTCTTCTTCTACTCCTCCTCTTTTCCATACCCATGATAGAGAAAAGAGTGGGTGCTGGGGACATGTAATCAACGTTTCCAAACCAGTTTTGAGGTATTGGATTTTCTTTGACGGAAGTTACAAGTGGACTCTGGAGGTGGAAGTTTGGACTGGTTCTGGCCGGACGGCTTTCACTTAGCCGCTCCGGTTCCCGGGTTTTTAACGGATAATGGCTTAGTAGCAGTCTAATGCTGGGCAAATCCGGTTTAACCTTTAGAACGAGTTTTCCACTTGGACCAAGCCGAAGGAGTGTCCGGTCAGCGGTTCAGCCGGTCAGACCGTCTGGTCCGGTCCGGCTATTTAAACACTGGACTAGAGGATTATTTCATACATAAATAAATGTAACCATCTCTTTACTTTTTAAGTAATAAAAAATATATTCATTCCAATGTTAAATGTAACAACTAAATAATTAATTCACATATAGAAAATTAATTAAATGATTTATGTATTAAAAAAATGTATATCTGTTTTCTTAGAAGATCCCATTATTTCTATTTGAAATTACTTCATTGATGGAAATTAATTAGAAAAATCATTTAAAAACCCTAAAAATTGAAAATTGCATACAAAAACCTTTTCACAAAAATTGTTATCAAAACCAACAATAATATTGTAACAGGTCCCTGTATGCAGTTTTTCTATTTTTAAGATCTTTTTTTATAATTTTTCAAATTAATTTTAATATGACAAATAATATGGATAGTTTGGGGGAAATTATAGATTTAAGAGACAGAACAAATTAAAATATCATATTTAGAATCAAAACAAACACAGTTGTTTGTGTATAGTTGAATAATTATGATAGATATTGTATCTATAAATTTTATGGCTAAACAATAAATTTTTTATTTTTCTTTGAAATGCAAAGAGTGTATAGATCTTTAACAAGTTGAAAAAGAATTTATTGCTTAAAGATACTTGAAATTCATTTAAGAACCCAAGTGCAAAGTAACTTATCTTTAGCGGATGCAACTCTTTTCCACGTATTTGCACCCTATCTTCAATCATATTTAAAATAGATGACATTTACGCATAGTAGAAGGTGTGAAATACAACTAAAAAAAAAAAAGTTTAACGACTGGCAGTAAAATTTGCAGCGAGGAAACTTTCAGCAATTTTTCCAAAAACAATTGCAAAATGTTACCACATTTTAATTAAATTTCATATATATGATAAGTAAAACCCACCTAATTTTAATTAAATATATGAATTCAATGCGAAGGAAATTATGTGATCAACTTAACTAATCAGTATAGATACAAAAGCTATAATATCTTTTAAGTAAGAGATATAAGATATCTATATATATATATATATTTAGTTGTATAAGTCGTAAATCAATAACAACACGTTTAATTTCATTTAGACTCCGAAAAAGTATAGGCATGTTTGAAGCGGTTGAGATTACCGCTACTTGGAATTATAATAATCATATGTATTTCTCCTCCTTGTCATTATCGAGTGGTCTTATCGGAAAGTTCAAGGGAGCCTATTGAATCCAATAATGAATAAGATTATGATTATGTGAGTGAGGTTTGTTTGCCTGCTGAGTTTATAATTTCGAGGAAAGATTAAAAGAACTAACGGGAAGCATTATGCCGTACGTTAGCTTCGAGAAGGTATATCCATTTTAAAGATGGCGTCTCAAAAGAAGTGGATATAAATAATTTCAAAAGAAATGCCATTTTCTTCCAGACGATGATAAGATTATGGAGTTAACCACGTGCGATGTAAGAGTAAAATTTACTTTATTATGAAATTTTTATCACTCCATAGTGTTAGCACAGCAATATTACAGTTTATAAACAAATAATGGTCTTATGATGATTTACTTAAGTGTAATCAGTAGTTTCTTTTCATTACGGCAAATCTAGCAAATCAATTTAATACAATTTATATGGATGCGCCAATTAGTTTTAGAATGAATCATTTAGTTTACAAACTAATATGAAATAGAATAACATTAAGTATTTGATCGAAAACTTAGCAAATGCAAGTTGAATATGAACATCAACTTTTTTTTTTAACACAGTTTTATCTATAGTTGAAAAAAAAAATTATCTTATTTTGAAATACAACTAAAACTATGTTGACTGCTAAAAGCCTAAAACTATAAAACCGTATCATTCGTCTTAGTTTTATGGCAAAAAACTTAGCATAAGATAAATCATAGGATATCCTCCAACCCCAAAAAACAAAAACTATGTAAAGAGACGAAAATGAAATTACCGCCATTTCTATACTTTGGTACCGTTGGAAAAAAAAGAAATGCCCGCAATGATCTGATCAACATCATTAAAGTTTAAAACTAAGGATTTTGAGTTTTGAATTTGGATTGAATAGGGAAAAGATTAAAATCAGTAGGTAGATTTTTAGATCAGAAGTTGGTTTGCTCTGTCCTACTTTTAATCTAACACGTAAGCCCAAATACTAAATTAAGCCACTACTGTCGACATGAATAGTAATATAGAGTATACATGCTTAAATTATATAAATTAGTGAAAGTGATTCAAAATTGATATAACTAATTTAAAATAAAAAAAAATCAAGTCTCAGTTAAAACAAATCTTTGACATCCTTTATCAAATATTTGTATGCGTAATCTAATATATATATAGATAAATTAAATAAATAAAATGTTGATTATTTGAAAATAAAAGATGATAAAAATAAACTAACCTTGTGAGCTTGAGAATAGAGAATAATTAATAAAAAGTGAAAATTAATACTTCTAGTCTTCCAAGTTTTGACTTACTTCAAAGTCAATTTTCGAACTTGAAACGAACTGCAACTATAAATTAATACCTGGTTCAACCCAAACTAATATAATTAGACTTAATAGTTACACACACACACAACTAACAACTCATGCTTAAAAATCGATATCAGTGGCGTGTAAATTTTCCAGCAGCCTAAATTATTTTTTAAGGTATATACACTTAGAAAAATATTTCAGTGGCGTGTAAATTTTCCAGCAGCCTAAATTATTTTTTAAGGTATATACACTTAGAAAAATATTTCCTCTCTTTAAGGTGCTATGCACGTTCACCTTATTAATTCTTACTCCTCCAATCCTAACTATACGACTTTTATATTAGTTAATTATATTTTTCATAATATTTATTGATTTAAACAAAAATTAAATTTAAATTTGTCCTCCAGTAATTATTACATTAATTTATGTCTTTTTTCAGCAGTTAAATCATCCAAACATTCTTATTTTATTAAAATAACTTTTTCACAAATTTTATTCTTCTGACATTTATTCTCAAAATAACTTTTCAATTATTTTTCTCCACACCAGTTCTGCTCCCCCCCCCCCCCCCCCAAAAAAAAAAAAATACAGAACACCACTTGGTTTTAGCAGAGAAGCCCGTCCTAACGGCTCATCCCTTCTCAAAGAGTTTTGGGCAAGTACCTTAGCACAAAATAAACTAATTCTCAGATTGGCCCAAAAAGCTTCATAAAAATACCATCAACCTCCCGACTACCGCGCATCTGCTTCAGGCAAAATATAATTTGTTTAAAAAAAAAAAAAGAGTAACTGATACTCTTTTTGGGGACGAAATTGCATATTAGTAATCGAGCTCCTTGAATATTTGGGACTTACACTGAATTATCCATATTGATAATTGAGCATGAAAATTGCACACAGGAAATGGGATAATATGAAACAGCCTCCCTTTCAAGCAAATCACTCTTATTATTAACGCATTTCAAACAACACCCCCGTACTTAATTTTACCCAACTCGACGTTTATCACCATCCCAGAATCCAAAATGGAACTTCATGATCGGAACTTCTATGGTAAAAAGACTTCAAGCACCGAGTGAGATCAACTAACAAGCATAATGATACTACTAACAACAGAACAAAGAGTGGTAATTAATATGTTATACCAAACCAACACTCATCAAAACAAGTAAATTCACAGCATCACACATCGGTATACCTTATTTCTGACCCATCCCAACTAGATTATTACCAGAAAACAGGACGCTTTATGTTACACACAACATCATATTTGACGAACGAACCTTGTGAAATACCAGCCCAGCAGAAAGCATAGATCTTGTAATTCATTCTTCTCAACCAGCGATCTCGATGGCCTTAACCTCTGGTTTCTTAACCTCTTCCTTTGGAACAGTCACAGTGAGAACCCCATTTTCCATGGAAGCCTTCACCTGATCCATCTTTGCATTCTCCGGCAACCTGAATCTCCTCATGAATTTCCCACTGCTACGCTCCACGCGGTGCCATTTCTCGTTCTTGTCTTCCTTCTCCACCTTCCTCTCTCCGCTTATCTGAAGCACCCTGTCGTCTTCGACCTCCACCTTCACCTCCTCCTTCTTCAGCCCTGGAAGATCCGCCTTCAACACATGGGCTTCCGGCGTCTCCTTCCAGTCCACCCTAGCGTTCATGAACGCAGAATTTTCCGAGGACGAAGTAGAGAGAGAAGTGGGGAACGGGAAATCTCTGAATGGATCCCACACATCAAGAGAGAAAGGATCGAAGGCGCTGCTTCGTCGGCCACCAAAGAAGCTCGGGATGAGTGACATTTGATCGGAAACTGAAAAACAATGGAAGATCAATCAACGAGATTATGTTCTAAATTCTGATTGCTGCGTGAGGGATGAAAGGATATGATGGGTATTTAAAATGATGTGGGGGAGTAATGTAGTACTTTCAGGAGATATCCATTGTAGATATTTCAAGAAGTTTCTGAAAGTGCACAGCCCCTCTTCTACAGTTCTACTTCGCCCACCAGGCACGAAGGGTCGAGAGAAATACATGATCCCTCTGGACATTTCTGGTTCTCCTTGTATTTTTCTTGGACGTTGGAGGTGTGTTTTATTTGATTTCTATATATTTCTTCTATTAATTTTTTTGGCCTTGGAAATATTTTTCTATTAACTAAATCATTTAATTTTGTAATTTTAGTAATGTTAGCTTTTATAACTTTGTTCTATTAACATTTTTAGTCTCTATGTAAGAGTTAATACTGTTAATAAGTAAAAATAAAAATTTAATTAAGAAAAAAAACACATGAACATCAAATGAAAAATTTAAAACATATATAGAAAAAATTGTAAATAAAGACATCCTAATATATAAAATTACGATTTGAGACTTTTAATTTGGAAAATAGCAAATAAAGATCTAGTCTCACTTTTGCAAATATGAAATTGTGGTAAAATATCTGAAATACCCCTCAGTCAAATGACAAGTTGACTATGGAGAATGACAATTTCACTTTAGCGAATAACAATTTTAGTAGACTAAATTACAACTTGATTGAGTGTATGCCAAATGATGAAGTTGACTATGAGAAATAACAAGTTCACTTTAGCGAATAACAACTTTAGTAGATCAAATCAAAATTTGGTTGAGAGGCATTTAAGACTTTTACTCATATTTCATATTTGTAAAAGTAGGACTCAATCCTTATTTGCTATTTTCTAAATTCATAGTCCCAAATCACAATTTTATATATTAGAGGGTCTTTATTTATAATTTTCGTTATTTTTTTTGGGTTTTTGCGTTGGCAGTAATAATCTTGCTTGTTTTCTTTTTACCAAAAAAGTAAAACTAATCTTGCTTCTTTTTCTAACTTTTTTTCTGCGCCTGAGTCTTGTTTATCACTTTAATGGTCCTTTATATCTTTGCTGGGCCAGGAGCCGATAGTGAGTCTTTTTATTAAAAAAAAGATACAAATTATTTTTAAAAAAGGAGAGAGTGAGCATTTTTGAGCTTGCACAATGACAGGGGCTCTCTAATCCATCAGGAAATGGCAATGTATTTAATAATTATTTAATGAAGAATAATAACTTATAAAATAAAAATATTCACACCATGAAGTTGTGAATAATTATTTAAGCGTCATATCACTCATGAGGTGTTTGGTATCACATAAAAGTACTTCCAAAAAGCACTTTCTTATAAATCAAGGCAAACTTTTTCATATAGTTATCTCGCAAACTGTAAAATCACTTTTAAAACTATGGTTTAAGAGATATTTGAATGAAACCAAACCATAGTTTGAAAAATAGCTTCCAGATAATAGATTATGGGGAGAATAGATTTTGTGAAGAAGTGATTCTGATAAAGTAAGAGTGTTTGGATAATTGTTATTAGAAACACTTTTTATATGTACAAATTACTAAAAAGAGCATAAGTTAATATGATAATTACATAAAAGATATATTTTATAATATATTTTAATTTGAAGGAATAAAATTGTTAATAATACATTTTTTTACCAATATAATTAACAATATATAAGATAATATAATTAATAATTAATTAATTTGTGTATATATATTTATAAAATATAAGATTAAATATGTTTAGAGAAAAATAACCTTTTTTTCCTCTAACAAAAAAATATTAATTTTCTTTAAAGATTTTAAACATGAAATCACGTAACATTTTTTTACAATTAGTTTTTGTAAGAACATATTACCTTTGATCTTTAATATAATTAATTAATTAATTGTTACTACATGTATATATATTTATAAAATATATGAGTAAAAATATTTTCAAAGAAGATGAATTATTTTGTTGTGAACAAAAAATTTATTAATTTTCCCTGAAAATTATTAATTTGGGTGTTTTTGGTCAAAATATACCGTTGCTTCCAATTGACTCCTAATTATTACTCTAATGACTTAGTTTTCACTTCACAGAAGCAATAATTTTTCACTTCTCACCAAACGATGGTTTCAGCCTTCAAAACCATGATTTAAGCTATAATCAAGGTTTCAAAAGAGTTAAGACTGTTTGGATACGGGCCTGTTTGGATATATCTTCAAACCATGGTTTGGAGCCAAACAGCAGTAGAAAATATGAAACCATGGTTTGGGGTCAAACCATGGTTTGGAACCCCAAAACCATGGTTTCACCAAAAGCAACTGCGAGTTGCTTCTGACTTAAATTATTGGAACGTTTGGCGTGGGTCCCATGGCAGATGACAAAACAACCCCCAATAATTGATGCCTTCAGCCCTTCATTCCTCGGTCCTTCGCTCTTCACTCTTCAGAACGCCTTCCTGCTGTGTTCTTTCCTCCGTCAAAAGGATAATTTAATATTATGTTTTATAAATATATATATACACATATTAATTAATTATTAATTATATTATCTTATATATTATTAATTATGTTAGTAAAAATTATTTTATTAACAATTTTATTTCTTCAAATCAAAATATATTATAAAATCTATTCCTTATATAATTATCATATTGACTTATGCCCTTTTTAGTAATTTGCACATGTAAAAAGTGCTTCTGGTAACAACTATCCAAACACCCTCACTTCTCAAAATTACTTTTTTACAAAATCTATTCTTTCCAGAATCTATTTTCCAGAAATTATTTTTCAAACCATGGTTTGGTTTCATCCAAACACCCCCGTACATCTTATCCAAACTATGGTTTTGCCTTCCAAACCATGGTTTTGGATCTCTTAGTTTTCATCCAAACTCCCTCCCTCAATCTCCTAATTAAAACATTTCTACCATGATGGTAAATCTAAATGAAGAACTCAAATCTCCAAAAAAAAAAAAAAAATCTAATTATAAATATAAGACTTCGTTTATAATTTCAATTATACTACAATAGGGTTTCATATTTAGCACCAGAGGTGATAGTTAATTAGAAAAAAAAAGTTAAACTTACAAATTACATTACCTCTAGTTCTTAATATAAGAGCTAGTTGATTAATTTGAGTAGATTAAGAAAATTAGTTAAATTAGTTATTTGTAATAAATATGTGTTGTCTTTTCTGAATCATTACTAATCAAATATATCGGCTAGAATTACTATTATTGCAAGGACTACTTTAGGAAAAAAAAAGAATAATTATAAAAGATAAAGTGAATTAAAGTTTTGTATTTAGAACCAAAATAAAAATCAAACGAGTTCTTATACTACCTCCGGTCCTAAATATAAAAGCTAGTTGACTAATTTGAGTAGATTAAAGAAAAAAATTAAGTTAGATATTTGTAATAAATACGTATTGTCTTTCCTAAAATATTATTACTAATCAAATGCATTGACTAGAACTACCATTATTAGAAGGACTATCTTAGAAAAAAATGTATAAATATGAGAAACAAAATAAATTAAAATATTATATTTAGATCAGAATAAGAGTCAAATAAAATTTTATATTAAAGGCGAGAGGTAGTATTGTATTTGTGAAACTCTCAGCGTGGGACTCGCTGCACAATCCTCCTCTAGAATGGCAATGACAGCCTTCACTCGTTTTTTTGTTTTTTTGACCTGAAAAGCCTTCACTCTTAGCTAGGGTACTTGCACATCGGTTTTTCTACTCAAATTCATAGATTTGGTACGGTGTGTAGTGGATTTCAAGTTTAAAAAAAACAAAAACAAAAACAAAATGTGTGGGGATGAATGAAGTCTGTCGGTGCAAGAGTTACATGAAACTGAATACTTAAAGAAATCAAATGTCATGTGCTCAATATTTATCATACAATGTACAATTGGTGCCCCTGGGGCCTACCTGATGATGATGTTAATAATGCCTTTGTTTGTTTATTTGGTCCAGCAATAGAAAGGGAAGTCCCACCTGATAGCACTCCACTATCCAACAATGAACAAAATAGCCCTTTTAACTCCTCCATCCATACAATGGTCCCCCATTCAATGTTTTCTGACCCTTTTTTTTTTTAATTGATTCACACCATCCCACAGGCACCCATATAAAAATATGCATACAACAAATTCTTGACAACACATTCTGGCCAAATTCTTGACAAGTGCTTACTCTTTTAATTAAAAAAGCAAACAAAATATACATCAAATTAATACAAGCATGCGCATGAGGGTCATCTGGCCTAATGATACAAATAATCTTTCTTTTTTTAATTTTTTTTAAATATAAGATTGCAATTTTGACCTTCTATATATTATGAGTGTATAACTTTTTCCCATTAAGTGAAACACAATACTACATTCAATTCTTAATATAAGATATAGTTTATAATTGAAAATCAAACTATAAATTAAATTTTATATTAGAGAAAAGAGGTACCAAAAAAAAAATTTCAACTTATGTCAACCCCCATCATTTTTGGGCTATAGCATTTGAGTATCATTAAAAGTTTAATAGTAAAATACCATGACTATCTTTCTATTTTGTCTTCATTACATGAATCTCCTTTGATGATACATTTGAGTCCAAACTATTGATGTACCGTTAAAGCATATTTTAAAAAGAGGTGATAATAACAAACTCTTTAATTAGATTGTATATTTATCAATAGATGGAATATTAAGCACCATTGCATATATCTACTCCAATCACATTCCATATTGTTCATGGTTTATAGATAATACTCTTCTGATTCTTAATATAAGACCCATTTAACTAATTAGATTAGATTAAGAAAATTATGCAAGTTAGTTAATTATAAAAAAAGTGACATATTTTTCCTAAAACACTATAATTATCTTTCTTAATACTCCCTCTCCCTCTTCTACCTGACTATGATAGAGAGAGTATCCATAGGGGTAATTTAAAAAAAAATTGATAAATATGATAAATGGGTTTTATATTTAGTTTTAAAATGAATCATTTAGTGTTACAAACTAATATGAAATAGAATAACATTAAGTATTTGATTGAAAGCTTAGCAAATGCAAGTTGAATATGAACATCAACCATTTTTTTTTAACACAGTTTTATCTATAGTTGAAAAAAAATTATCTTATTTTGAAATACAACCAAAACTTTGTTGACTGCTAAAAGCCTAAAACTATAAAACCGTATCATTCATCTTAGTTTTAGGGCAAAAAACTTAGCATAAGATAAATCATAGGACATCCTCCAACCCAAAAAACAAAAACTAAGTAAAGAGACGAAATTAAATTACTGCCATTTCTATACTTTGGTAAAGTTGGAAAAAAAAGAAAGAAATACCCACAATAATCTGATCAACATCATTAAAAGTTTAAAACTATTGATTTTGAATTTTGAATTTGGATTGAATAGGAAAAAGTAGGACTGTTCACGGGACGGATCGGGACCGGGACAGGCTCGTCCCGGTTCCGTCCCGATAAACAGTAACGGGACAGATTTTCTGTCCCGTGTCCCCGCCCGTCCCGGGGTTGTCCCGGTCCCGGTTGGGATGGGACGGGACCGGGACGTCCCGAACCTCTTTTTTTTTTTTTAAATTTTTTAATTTTTTTTAAATTTTTAAAAAATTTTTTAATAAAATCTGATTTTTTTAATTATGTTTTTTGGGCTTAAACCTTATAAAACATCTTTTTATTTTCTTTTTTATTTGTTTGGGTACTCTTAAACAAAAACTCAAAATATTACATATAATAATCATTAAAAACTCTAAATAAAAGCTTTTAACACAATAAAAACTTGCTAAAAATTCTAATCATCAATAATCTCAAATCATTAACAAATATAAAAACTCTAAATAAATATATCCATAGTTCCATACAATAATCTCAAATCTTAAAAAAATATGAAAAAAATAATATTATATAAATGGAATAAAAAATAAAAAAATAAAAAAAATAAAAAAAAGGACCGGGACGGGACGACCCCGTCCTGTGTCTCGTCCCATCCCGGTCCATTTTTTGTCCCGTCCCGGTTTGTCCCGTCCCGAAATATCCGTCCCGTCCCAATAAGACCGGGACCGGAACGGGCCGACCGGGACGGATCCTTCTCGAACACCCCTAGGAAAAAGATTAAAATCAGTAGGTAGATGTTTAGATCAGAAGTTGGTTTGCCCTCTCCTACTTTTAAGACAGGATTTTAGCACGGAGTCTAACACGCGAGCCCAAATACTAAATTAAGTCACTACAGTTGACATGAATAGTAATATAGAGTATACATGTTTAAATTATATAAATTAGTGAAAGCGATTCAAAATTGATATAATTAATTTAAAATAAAAAAAATTAATCAAGCCTTAGTTAAAACAAATCTTTGACATCCTTTATCAAATATTTGTACACGTAAATCTAATATATATATAGATAAATTTTATAGATGAAATGTTGATTATTTGAAAATAAAAAATGATAAAAATAAACTAACCTTGTTAGCTTGAGAATAGAGAATAATTAATAAAAAGTGAAAATTAATATTTCTAGTCTTCCAAGTTTTGACTTACTTCAAAGTCAATTTTCGAACTTGAAACGAACTGCAAATATAAATTAGTACTTGGTTCAGTGGCTGCAGCCCAATCTAATATAATTAGACTTAATAGTTACACACACACAACACACACGCACACGCACACGCACACGCGCACACAAAACTAACATTCACCTTGGTTTTATGACAAAAAAAACTTAGCAAAGGATAAACCATAAGACAACCCAAAAAATAAAAACAAAGTAAAGAGACAAAAATAAAATTGCTGCCATTTCTATACTTTGGTATAGTTGGAAGAAAAAAATACCCACACTGATCTGATCAACATCATTAAAACCATAGAATTTGAATTTTAAATTTGAATTGAATAGCGAAAAGATTAAAATCAGTAGGTATACTTTTACGTCATAGAAGTTAGTTTGCTCTCTCTTATTTTTTAAAATAGGATTTTAGCATAGAGTCTAACATGCTGAGCCCAAACCCAAATACTAAATTGAGTCATTACTGTTGATATGAATAGTAATATAGAGCATCCATGTTTAAGTTAGATTAGTGAAAGCGATTCAAATTTGATATAATTAATTTAAAATTAAAAAAATTAAAACAAATCTTTGATATACCATATCAGCTATTTGTATACGTAAATCTAAAATATATGCATTAAATAAATAAAATCTTGATTATTTAAAAATAAAAAATGATAAAAAAAAAGAACTAATCTCATTAGCTCGCGCATAGAGAATAATTAATAAACAGTGAGAATTAATATTTCTAGTCTTCCAAGTTTTGACTTACTTGAAGTTCACTTTTTGAACTTGAAATGAAGGCCGAAGGCAAACCTCTCCTAACTGCATATATAAATTAGTACTAGGTTGCAACCCAAACTAATATAATTAGACTTAATAGTTTCTTTTTGGGTGAAAAATTAGACTTAATAGTTATACACACACACACACAACTAACAATTCATATTTAAAAATCGATGTCAGTGGCATGTAAATTTTCCAGCAGCCTAAGTTATTTTTTCAGGCATATACACTTTAGAAAAACATTTCCTGTCTTTAAGGTGCTGAATCCACGTTCACCCTATTAATTATTATTAGTTAATTATATTTTTCATATAATATTTATTGTGTTGGCAAAAAATATAATATTTATTGATTTAAACAAAAATTAAATTTAAATTTGTCCTCCAGAAATTATTACATTAATTTATGTCTTTTTTCAGTAGTTAAATCATCTAAACATTCTTATTTTATTAAAATCATTTTTTTCACAAATTTTATTCTTCTGACATTTATTCTCAAAAAACTTTTAATTATTTTTCTCCAGACCAGTTTCCTTCTTTTGTTGTTTTTTCCCCATACAACACCACTTGGTTTTAGTAAAGAAGCCCGTCCTAAAGGCTCACCCGTCCAGCCGTCCTCAAAGAGTTTTGGGCAAGTCCCTTGGCACAAAATAAATTAATTCTCAGATTGCCCCAAAAAGCTTTATAAAAATAGCATCAACTGATGCTATTTTTAAATATATATATATCTCTCTCTCTTTTTGGGGACGAAATTGCATATTTGTAGCTGAGCTCCTTGAACATTTGGGACTTACATTGAATTATCCATATTGATAATTGAGCATGAAAATTGAACACAGGAAATGGGATAATATTGAAACAGCTTCCCTTTCAAGCGAATCACTCTTATTATTAATGCATTTCAAGCAACAACTACATACTTAATTTTACCCAACTCGACGTTTATTACCATCCCAGAATCCAAAATGGAACTTCATGATCGGAACTTCTATGGTACAAAGAAGTGAGATCAAATAACAAGCGTAATGATACTACTAACAACAGAACAAAGAGTGGTAATTAATATGTTATACCAAACCAACACTCATCAAGACAAGGAAATTTACCGCATCACACATTATATCTTCTTTCTGACCCATCCCAACTAGATTCTTACCAGAAAACAGGACGCTTTATGTTACACACAACATCATATTTGACGAACGAACCTTGTGAAATACCAGCCCAGCAGAAAGCAGAGATCTTGTAATTCATTCTTCTCAACCAGAGATCTCGATGGCCTTAACCTCTGGTTTCTTAACCTCTTCCTTTGGAACAGTCACAGTGAGAACCCCATTTTCCATGGAAGCCTTCACCTGATCCATCTTTGCATTCTCCGGCAACCTGAATCTCCTCATGAACTTCCCACTGCTACGCTCCACGCGGTGCCATTTCTCGTTCTTGTCTTCTTTCTCCACCTTCCTCTCTCCGCTTATCTGAAGCACCCTGTCGTCCTCAACCTCCACCTTCACGTCCTCCTTCTTCAGCCCTGGAAGATCCGCTTTGAACACGTGGGCTTCCGGCGCCTCCTTCCAGTCGACCCTAGCGTTCATGAACGCAGAATTTTCCGAGGACGAAGTAGAGAGAGAAGTGGGGAACGGAAAATCTCTGAATGGATCCCACACATCAAGAGAGAAAGGATCGAAGGCGCTGCTTCGTCGGCCACCAAAGAAGCTTGGGATGAGCGACATTGGATCGAAAGCTGAAAAACAGTGGAAGATCAATCAATGAGATTATAGTTCTGAATTCTGATCGCGGCTTGATGCATGAAAGGATATGACGGGTATTTAAAATGATGTGGGGGAGTAACGGAGTACTTTCAGGAGATATCCATTGTAGATATTTCAAGAAGTTTCTGAAAGTGCACAGCCCCTCTTCTACTTTGCCCAGCAGACAAGAATGGTCGAGAGAAATACGTGATGCCTCTGGACATTTCTGGTTTTCCAAGTCAGAATCACTTTCACTACTCATCCATTTAGGAGCAATATTAACTAATTACATATGAACCGTCTATATTTTATTTGGATAGTTTAGATTTGATTTTTTTTTTATTTAAAATAATTATTTTAATATGTATAGAATCTAAAATAGTAACGATCTCTTAACTATCATTCTTCCAAAAAATAGTTTTTTCCATTTAAAAATAATTAATTAAATATTTTAAATTTAGACTGTTAAAATGAGATATAGACAATTCAGATCTAATGAGCTTACAATACTCATCAAAGAGATGAGCACCAAAACTGGTTCCATTTCTCTTGGACGTTGGAGGTGTGTTTTATGTGATTTCTATATATTTTTTCTATTAATTAAATCATTTAATTTTACATCTTAGTGACGTTAACTCTTATAACTTTGTTCCATTAATATTTTTAATCTTTATACAAGAGTTAATAATGTTAATACAGTAAAAGTAAAGATTTAATTAAGGAGCATTTTTGAACCTGCACAATGATAGGGCTCTCTAATCCATCCGGAAATGGCAGTGTACTTAATAATTATTTAATTAAGAATAATAACTTATAAAATAAAAATATTCACACCATGCAGTTGCGAATAATTATTTAGGCCGGCTATGTGGATGTCCCTCTTCATGAACGGCCTCCTAATTAAAACATTTCTGTCATGAAGGTAAATCTAAATGAAGAACTCAAATCTCCAAAAAAAAAAAAAACTCCGGTTATAAATATAAGATTGTGTTTGTAGTTTAAATTATACTATAACAAGGTCTTATAATTAGAACTGGAAGTGGTAGGTAATTAGGAAAAAGAGTTAAACTTATAAATCATACTACTTACAATCCTTAATATAAGAGCTAATTGACTAATTTAAGAAGATTAAGAAAATTAGTTAAATTAATTATTTATAATAAATATGTGTTGTCTTTCCTAAATCTTTATTAATTAAGTATATTGGTTAGAATTACCATTATTATAAGGATTATCTTGAAAAAAATGAATAAATATAAAAAATAAAGTGAATTAAAATTTTATATTTATAATTAAAATATAAATCAAATGATTTGTTATATTATATCTGTGAAACCTTCAGCGTGGGACTCGCCGCACAATCCTGCTCTAGAATAGCAATGAAAGCCTTCACTCTAAGCTAAGGTACTTGCACATCGGTTTTTCTACTCAAATGCATAGATTTGGCACGGTGTATAGCGGGCTTCAAGTTTTTAAAAAAAGGGTGTGGGGATGAATGAAGTCTGTCGGTGCAAGAGTTACATGAAACTGAATACTTAAAGAAATCAAATGTCATGTGCTCAATATTTATCATACAATGTACAATTGGTGCCCCTGGGCCTACCTGATGATGATGTTAATAATGCCTTTGTTTGTTTATTTGGTCCAGCAATAGAAAGGGAAGTCCCACCTGATAGCACTCCACTATCCAACAATGAACAAAATAGCCCTTTTAACTCCTCCATCCATACAATGGTCCCCCATTCAATGTTTTCTGACCCTTTTTTTTTTTAATTGATTCACACCATCCCACAGGCACCCATATAAAAATATGCATACAACAAATTCTTGACAACACATTCAAACCTTATAATCTAGTGGCATTGATGTTTTTTTAAAGTAAGAGGTTGAGTGTTCGATCCCATTTGTAACCTTGGAACGTTAGTGCTTACCTCTTTAATTAAAAAAGCAAACAAAATATGCATTAAATACAAGCATGCGGGTCATCTGGCCTAATGATACAAACAATCGTTTTTTTAAATATTTTTTAAATATAAGATTGCAATTTTCACCTTTCATATATTATGAGTGTATAACTTTTTCCCATTAAGTAAAAAACAATATGATATCCAATTCCTAATATAAGATGTAGTTTATAATTGGAAATCAAACTATAAATTAAATTTTATATTAGGGAACAGAGGTACAAAAAAGAAAAAATCCAACTTAAGTCAACCCCCATAATTTTTGGGCTATTGGCATTTGAGTTTCATTGAAAGTTTAATAGTAAAATACCATAACTATCATTTTATTTTGTCTTTATTACACGAATCTCCTTTTTATTTTGATAATACATTTGAGTCCAAACTATTAACATACTGTTAAGGAATATTCTGAAAAGAGGTGATAATAACAAATTCTTTAATTAGATCGTATATTTATCAATGGATGGAATATTAAGCACCATTGCATATATCTACTCTAATCACATTCCATATTGTTCATGGTTTATAAATAATAATTACGATTTTCGCACCCTTTCTGTGTCATGTTGACCCAAGATTCATCCTCAACACCACATGTTAAAATGGCAAGGCACATGTTAATCACTTGAATGATTTTTATAAAAGGATAAAAAAAACAATGGGTGGAACCTGTATTTACACCCAACTAAAAGGTACTACTTCCAGTTCTTAATATAAGAACTAATTGACTAATTTAAATAAATTAAAAAATTAGTTAAGTTAGTTGTTTGTAATAAATAAGTGTTGTCTTTCTTAAAATACCTTTGCTAATCAAGTGTTACTTGATGAAATATTTAATATGTGTAACTATTACTAAGATTATCCTGGGAAAAATAGATAAATACGAGAGATAAAATATATTGAGGTATTATATTTAGGACCAAATTAAAAGTGAAATAAACTCTTATATTAAGGACTGGAGGTAGGATTAATTATGACTTATTATCTGCGCGATTATGATGTAATTGATTTATATTGATTATTCGTATGGGAAACTTAACTTTTAGAAGGGGAGCTTTTTTTTTTCTAGCAAAAAAAAAAGAAGGGATTTTTTTGTTGTTAGACTTTTTCGAGATTTGTAAAAAATACTTTTATTTCACAATCAATTTTGAAAATGATTTAATAAATGGGGAAGCAATATACATCCTTCACAGAGAAGATAAATATAATTAAGAAAATTTAATCCTTTTGGCAAAAAAAGAAAAATTTAATCCGTCAAGAAATTAATTTAATCTCTCAAGAAAATGTAATCAAAGGAAAAGGATTGGATCCAAAGCAAGGAACATGTGAGTTGGAATGACCACTTCGGTCTTCAAATCATGAAAATTATTGTGCACCCAGAAAAAGAAAAGTCAATAAAAGCCGTTCTCTCAAGAAATTAATTTTTTATAATAATAAAAAGAAATTAATTATTCAATCTTCTTCATTGCTTAATTGGTTAATCTCTCTTTATCGCACATTGCATCTTTCAAGGGTTCAATGCAAATTTAAAATTAAAATAGACTAAACTGCATAGAATCTTCAATGTTAAGTTTGTTATAGGTGCTTTTTCCATGTGCCATTGGTCCCCAAAAAAAAATTCATTTTTATATTTTAATGATAAACTCCCTATGGCTTTAAATTTGTTAAATAATTATTAAGTAACTTTTCTTGTCTAGAATTTCAAGAATTAACTTAACTATATGGAATTTGTCTGCAGGATTTACAAGTTTGTGTAATTTTATTGTCAGATATTAAAAAATTATAAATTATGAAATTATTTAAACATTGATTAACAATATAAAATAAAAAATATTAAAAATATATTAATTACTACACATATATTACATACAATACGATTTACTTTGATTTAGACTTCAAGCAAGGCGTATAGGTTGTATTTTAATTAGATAGAGTGACATTTAAGTGATAACAAATTAATTTAATAATTATTATTATATTTTTTAAAAAATATTTCCTAAAAAATAAGTTTCAAATACATATGTACATACGTACATGCAAATATGAGTGTTAGCTGAAAACCAAACATTTAAATCTCAATGTTTTAGTCGCAACTAAAATTCATATATTTGTGATTATCTAAGTAAACATTTGCAACACATTTTTCATCAATTTTTTATTATCATTTCTCCTTCTCATTATTGACAACTTCACTTACCAAAGCCCTTATTTTAAAAGTAAAAATCTTGTACAATTATGGATAAATAATGGTTTGGCCATTTGCCGGTGGATTGCTTTTTTTGGTGGTAGCTGAACGAAGCCATTGCATATAGCATATTATATGTCGTGTGATCCGTTCAACTCAACCAATATTACCCAAATATATTTTATATGTAATCCTGGAATCCTTAATATAGAATTTAATTAGTTAATTTAAGTAGATTAAGAATGTTATTTAAATTGGTTAATATAATATGCTCCTTCTAAAACACTATAAGCATCTTCCTTTATTTTCTCCCTCATTCTCTTACTTGATTAATTTTAGGTAATATCAATAGAGTTAATTTTAAAAAATTAATAAAATATGTAAAATATGTCTTACATATAGGATCAATATCAATTTTTTAATTAGATCCTTTATTAAAAACCAAAGGAGTGTATATATATATCATGCATCATGTGTAATCATCCTCAATATATATATGACCCATCGTATGTAATATTCTTTTCATTCTTAATATAAGAGTTACTTAATTAATTTAAATAAATTATGAAAACTAAATAAATTATTTAATTCTAAAAAATATGAGAACCTTTTTAAAATGTCCCTATATATAATATGAGTTTATAAGTTTAACAAATTAGTTTTAAAAAAATGTGAGGGAAAAATAAGTTAAGGTTTTACATAGTAAGGACCAAAATTTACTTTCTAACTAACTCCCATATTTAAGGTGGGAGGAGTGTAATATGTATATAGAGAGATTATATATCTTAGTTTATTATTATTAATATTATTGTTAATATAATACTATATCTTAGTTTATTAATATTAATAATGTAATATTATGCATATTAGAGGTAAAGAAGAATTTTTCCTCAGAAAAATAGGACCCCATGGGACAGTAAAAAAAAAACTATATATCAACTGCTGAAGTGATTTAATTCTTTATTACTTATAATTAATATTTTAAGTTTGAATTTTATGTATGAAAAGGATTATGAATGAAAAATTTGCATGTACATATATTTAGTAAAT